CTTCCTGCCTTACCCCTCCCCCAAGTGCCAAGGCACCAGCACACCGCTGCGGAGGTGCAGGCTGAGGTCTCAGAGTCGCCTTCCTCCAGAAACTTCCTGAAGGGGTTTCCGTGAGACCCACGCGATTCTTCAGAAGAGGGAAGGGCATTCTAGAAAAGGCACCCAGCTTTGGAGCAAGGCATTGCCCTTAAGCCAAAGGAGACCTCCTACGTGCACGAGGCCACCGCGCGCATGGCTGCGGCTGAGCGTGCCCCAGCTCTTGGTGGCTCTTGGTCACTGTGGCTTTCCTGGAGCAGGGAATCCTAACGCATCAGTACGAATAGATGCGCGGTATTACGAAAGGTTTCTCTGAAAGGGTGTTCTCGACTCGTGAAAGGTTGGAAAAAGCCACTGCGCGACACACTCAGGGATGCGAGTTAAAGGAACAAGCCAGTTACCGGCGCCCGGCTCCTCGGCGAAGCGGACACTCGCAGGGTCTCTGTTCTGCGACAGCCTCTGCAGCGGGACCCAGGCGGCTTGTGGCTGAGTGCCCGGAGGTCCGCTCCGTGGGCTCCCGCGTGACAGGAGGTGACAGAAGGCACCCAAGGGGTCTCGGGCACCCTTAGTGCTTCTCTCTCTTTCAGAGGCCCCCACGGAGCTTCCAGAGTGACACGCCTGACTGCTCACAGGTGGGGCCACACAGACCGTGGTCCACCAAGCATTCCCACCTGCAGCAAAGTGAGGAGTGAGGACCCGGCCACCCGCCCTGCTTGGAGCTGTGCTGAGGATGACGATGCTATGGTGAGGGCCAGCAGGCATTGAACACTCTCTGTGTCAAGGACTCTAGGAGCCCACGTTCCCAGGCGAGAGTGTAGCTGCTGGTGCCCAGGCCAACTGACCTGGCCCCCGAACCCGGCCAGGACTCCGGAGGGACGCCACGCTGCTGCGCCCACATAGCCTGGGGCGGCAGGCAGGCAGAGACACCCCCAGTCAATCCAGCTGAAGAACGTGTCTCAGTGGCCTCCAGACACCAACCCACCGTGGGGGTCCTGAAGACAGATGCCCCCGGCTCTGCACGCCGGGGCCAGAGAGCCCTCTGCACACCCAGCGCGGCCGCTCACCTGGGCTTCGGCATCTCGGTGGTCTTCGCATTCTTGCTCCTGGCTGCGAGGGATCAATTCTGATGCCTGTTCTTCACTCTCATCTGGCCGGAATGGTTTGCAGCCAGGTGGACTGGACATTCTACTGCCCATCTCCGCTGTCGCCTCGTACCTGTGAGGAGTTCGAACCACCTGCCACATGCAGGCAATAAAAGGACTCTCACTCATAGGGACTGATGCTCAAAGCAGCTCACCGTCCACGCAATAAGGTTTTGGACAGCTAACCTACACAGCACTAGGAGGTGAAACTATGCAAAGCAGAGTCCTCTTTCTAGCAGACCTTGCAGATTAAGAGAAAGCAGGACATTCACGCACACTCAAAGCACATTCAGACTGCTCAAAGCCAAGGCAGAATGTGCCAGAAGCAGCGTCTGCGAGCTCTCGCTGCGAGCCTCGCACTGTGTCAGGGTCCACACAACTCCGCCCGCACCCACCGTCCCTACACCGCTACGAGGGGAGCACCCCGTGACCCCCACTGTGCCCGTGAGCTTGGTTGGTGTGTTTGGGCTCGCCGAGCCAGTAAACAGTGGAACCAGGAGTCAAACTGAGATGGCGCGCTGCGTTCGATGGTCAGGACTGGCCGCTGGCCTGGGCGACAAGAGGGCGCCAGATGGTGGGAGGCGAGCTGCTCCCAGATCCCATCCCCGCAGTGGGTGTTCCGGCCCAAAGGAGAGCCTGGAGCGTCCACACAGTCGAGGGGCCCCTCCCCCACACCACAGGTAAACCCGCCGGCTGAAAATAGGAACCGGTCTTGCTTTCCCAGAGGCATCTAGTCGTGATGAACCGCCTCCATGCCCGGGGCCCCAGGCGGGAACCCTAAAGCAAGACTGTGCCTTAACGGGGCTGAGGAGTCATTTCCACCTCGACACCCCGCGTGTCTCTCGGTCCCAAGCCATTCCCTTCCCACGCAGGCCAAAAGTCCACGTGTCCCCGAAGCAGGGAGTGAGAGCCGTTCCATCCCACCCCCAGGGAGGTTTCTGAAAGCCCCCGGCCCTGGTTTTTGTTCATGCCGTCTGCGAGGACAGTCATGCCGTCTCCCCTCCCTTTACTACAGAAGGGCCTTCGGCCTTCCCAGGAGCTGGCGGCTTTAAGCTTCGCCTGCTCACGACTCCTCCCGGTGAACAGGCCCCGTGATCACGAGCACAGACGAAAAAGCCCATTGCTCAGAGATCAGTCCCGAAGCTCCTGGGAGCCAGGGAGGGCAGTCGGAGGCAAAAGTGTCCCGGCCGGAGAAAGAAGGCGGGGGACAGGGGCAGCTCCCCAGAAGTGTGCAGCTACAATATTAACACAAATTAAATGCCAGCCCGTGCTGGAACGGATGAGACCACTTACACACCCATTAGCACGGGCCTTGTAGGAGGTCCCCAGGTCCCCAAAGCACCTGTCTGCCAAGCCTTGCCTACCAAGTAGCTTAACTGTATTTTTTGATAATCTCCCATCCATCAAATAAAAAAATCAAAATCAAAATAAACACTCCACCAGCAGAAAAAGTTTTATTTAAATTTTGAACATAAGACAGGTTACTTAAATGAAAAAACAAACACTTTCTCCTCGCGAGCCCATGCAATTCCACTTTGGTTTAAGGGACGTGGGGTTTATGCCACAAACTGCAGACGCGCAGGCTCCCTTCCCACGACACAGGACAGAAGTCCCCTGCAGGCAGCTCTCAGAGCTCCAGCGGGCCAGCCGGAGGCCAGCCCTGGACACGCGCCCGAGCACGTCTGCCGTTTTGTGGGTGTTTCTTCCCTGCAGTTAAGGTCGGACAGAATTCCGAGAAAATGGGTTCTTGGCACGATCTCACCTTTAAAGTGTTAGGTCTTATCCGATTCACTGACCCAGAATTTCTAAGACACGGAGGAGCGTCCGTCCAAGCAGGAGTTTGGTTCTACACATAGCCAAGTCTTGAACCAGCCGTATCGTCACAATCAAAAGTTCTGGGCCAGCTCACAGATCCTGACTTCGTCCTCTGCTCCTAGTGGGCACTGGCTGGCCAGCGACGGTCACTGTGACGTGGCCGCTGCTGCCCCATGTTCTGACCCTGCAGCCTCCACCACACACAGCCCTGAGCAGGTGGCCGGCATGAGCCTGCCCAGCTCCAGGATCCTGGTCCACAAGCAAAAGGCATTTTGCCCGGCCCAACGCTGCCCCCAAAACGGCCCAGGCCACAGGCGATATGCAACAGATGACTTTAGGGGTGCACGGCTTTTATTAAAACACCGTTTTAATGACAATGCGCCTGACTGCCATATCGAACTCACGACTTGGTGGATGTTAACATTCTGCCCCAAAGTAATTGTGTATGTAAGTATCAACAATGAGTAGACCAAGGAAAATGTCGATAATGGCAGAGCTCCGCAAGGCAGGTGCCGCCCTCCTCGTTCCCCTGGTGCGTGACTGCCGGGGACTCCTCTCCGCCATTTCTCTTTGTGCAGAAGCATAAAACACACAGGACTAAAAAAAAAAAAAAAAAAAAAATCCAAAACTTGGGCTCCGGTGACACCTACGTCGTGTGCTGGCCACGTGCCCCTGGGCATGCCAACTTAACCTCCCGAGCCTCGGTCTCCATTCCTGCAAAATGGGGGTCGGGGGGCAGCAGAGGATTAAAAGCAACGAGGCTCTGAACGGGTCTCGCAAACCGTGAGATGCTACAGAGCTGTCGGTCGCTACACTTCTCGGTTGCACAAGCCCGCTGTCTGGGTGTGTAACCGGTCTGTACTCAGGTCCCCTCCCTGCGATCTGCAGCTCGGCCTGCGTGGCCCTCTCTTCCACGGGCTCCCGATGAACCTCACACGTTGCGTGCAGGAATCCTAGAGCTCTGCTTCTTCACAGAAACACCTAACCCTCTAGATCATTCCTGGAAACACGTCTGGTTTCGGGGGACTTTACGGGATAAAATCCTCCCCTAAGACACACTTCGTTGTCCCCATAAGTCAGAATTTCTTCTGCTACGGAAACCTAGAATCCACCTTTTTTTTTTTTCCCCCCTGGGGAGGGGGGTGTGGGGGGCTCTAAGTCAACTCCTGCGAGAAACTACCTTCTTTGTGCTGAAACGCCCGTCGACGCCTGTTGCTGCGCTGACATGTGTTCTGAGTGGAACTGAGCGAAACGTGAAGTGGAGTCCCATGTCTGAAGCTGGGGGCTCCAAACGGCTGATTCAGCGTTTTCGGAAACAAAGTGTTCCGGGCCTGGCGCTGGAAACGGCAGCACCCAGAAAGTTGGGCCACTACGCACGTTCACTCAGAGCGCTGCTTGTTTGGGTCTTTTCCTTGCATCTCTTGAATGAAACTGGGTACGTTTGCAAGAAAGCATTCTTTCCAGTGCAGCGGCCAGATCCGGCACCGTGTCGCCGTCACCTGTGGCTCCCCTGCAGTACCCAGCGTTTGCGTCAAAGCAAACGACCAAAAGTTGGCGTTTCTTCCAATCCCAAGGAAAAAAAAAAAACAAAAAAAACCGAACACAATAAAAAGTGGAGAATACCCTAATTTCCATAACGCACATGCTCCAGGGCCTTCGCCAGCCAGGCGTTTGGAGAGGCAACGAGCGAGGCGGAGGGTTGCATCAGAAATGCCCTTCTGCGAACGCAACGGCGCTTATCGCATTTCCACGGCTGGCGGGCGGCTAATCCGCGAGCCCTCGACTCGGGGTTAGGCCCCGGCGGCGGGTAACAGGGTCACTAACGGACCCAAAGAAATGATCCCTGGGCCCGCCGCGCTCGGCCGGGGAGTG